AAACGAAACAAGCTTGGTAAAATGTTGCTCGTTTCCGAAATAAAGGGAGTTAAAGTTGAAAATTCGCAAAAAAATTAATGACTAATTTTTTTATTACTAAACGTTTTTATTGTCATTAGATACGCCTATCAGCAAAAAAATAAGTTAATTAAACTTTGCCAGTGGCGTACGGCATGGTTAAGTAGCACACCTTTTCATCTCTAAATTTTACACTATTGTCCAAAAACTTATTTGGACTATAATTTTAATTTTTTTTTGTAAATATATCATGTACTCTTATTGAAAACATAAAAAATTCAACATTTCAGAAATTTAAAATAAATAACTTCCACTTTTGTGTACGAATATCTCGAAAATTAATCACTTTATAAGTTTTCAACAGGAGTAGGTAGATAATATTTAAAAAACACCAAAAACATTTTTGGACAATGGCGTAAAATTTAAAAGGGGTTACTTACCCCTGCCACTTACGAATGTTTCTGACAAAGTTTATTTGACTGATTTTTTTGGCTGACAGGTGTATCTACTGACACCAAAATCGTTTACTGAATTCAGTAAAATTATACTGGGTAGTAAAAAAATATATAACCTTAATAAATTTAAGAATACTTGAATTTTCATCTTTAACGCCTTGTATTTCGAAAACGAGATATATTTTATTTAAACATGCTTCATTTAATCGTCTTACTTTTAATCAGACAATCTTCAGTTGTTCTATGTCTTATTCTTAATTGAACACCTTGTATATAAATGCAAATTTTTTAGAATATGCTAGTAATATAAGATAACTTTGTCTTTATCAGGATTCTTAACCACTTAACTTGGTATGAACATGACGAACAGCTCAGCAAAGATTATCATCATCTTCTTGTTTTACACTTGGTGTCAATGCTAAACAATATAGTAGCTATATAACAAGAACATTATATTTTGCTATTTTTCGTCGCCATCTGATGATATATGGTATCATACATTAGGGTCTCTAAGGGATTTCAGTAGATTTTTATCATTCAAAAATATACCATACGCATTTTAGCTAATCTTAAACCTGGGGAAACTTGTCAAAGTGCTATCAAACACTTTAATATTTTACCTATCATATGTGGATTATACCTATGAGGTTCTATGCTAGACGTAATTTTTCCACTTTTACTTGAAATAAAGTAGATCATTAACAATTTACTAAAAATAAAAATTCACTACTAACACAACTACTACTCTTATATCAGGAAGATATGTGGGTGTGTCTGAGTGTGTCTACATAATAATTCAAAAACGGATAAAAAAACACTGCATTTTGAAATTAAGCTTAGATTTCCGAGCATCTTCATTACTTAAAGTCAGACTCCGGAGCCCTACTTCCTTTGAAATCACACGTGGCGAACCGCTAAAAATATCAACATAATATTATCTACTAACTGCGTAAAACGGAGATTTTTTCGCGAAAATAGACATGCAAGTAGGTACTTTTTCAGGTACTTTTATGGTACGGCAGACTACCTAACTATTAGAGTAAAATAAAATTAATCAATTTAATTAATACCTATGGACAAGACAGTTGATAAAATTTAAATTAGGACGCAATAAATTTATTGTATATGAAAATGTAATCTTTTTTTTTTAATCCTTCAATAATTAAACTTGTAATTAGTATTCTATCAAGGTGAAATACAAGTAATTATGTATTTCTTTATTAAATAAACATGCCTTAAGGTAATTTATTGATAGTTCTGGTGCCAAATATCGATATATTATATCTGCCTAAAAAGATTTGAGATTTTGAATTTTCAAAATTTGCAAAATTGAAAAATCAAGACGCTATATTTGATGTCCGTGTTTTCATTTTTTATAATATAAAACGTAAACTAACTGAGCAATGAAAAGAAAAACTAGAAAGCAGATATATAATGCTTGGCTTTCTACATTATACTCTTCGCAGTTTAACAAACCTCCCTCGACCCCCATTTTTATTAAGATTTTTGTTTTCAGAATCAATAGGCTTCATCCTCTCAGAGAGCTTTATTTTTACTAAAAATTTCGTGTTGACATTGTTTTTCGATATTTATTTCCGATTTTTTTTTTCAACCATCCTTAACTACCTTTTCTATTAAGATTTTTATTCAGTTTTTTTCAGAATCAATAATAGGCTGCATCAACTTATACAGTATACAGTATTACTTAAAGTTTCATGTTGATATCGCTTTTTCTGTTTGATTTTTTTTTTTTAATTTCAACACCCCTTTAAATTCCTCACTTTTATTCATAAGCTTCGTCTTCTAATAGAGTTTGATTTTTCTTGAAAATTTCAAGTTGATAGTTTTTCGTGTTTGATTTATATTCTTTACTTATTTATTTTTTACTTCCTGTATTGTAATCGTTAAAAAGTCACACTCGGAGATTTTTTCGGATATTCACGTTTCAGGAACCCTAGATCACGAAAAACATGTTTCCCTATGCTGTCGTCTGTCGTCTGTCGTCTGTCGTCTGTCGTCTGTCGTCTGTCGTCTGTCGTCTGTCGTCTGTCGTCTGTCGTCTGTCGTCTGTCGTCTGTCGTCTGTCGTCTGTCGTCTGTCGTCTGTCGTCTGTCGTCTGTCGTCTGTCGTCTGTCGTCTGTCGTCTGTCGTCTGTCGTCTGTCGTCTGTCGTCTGTCGTCTGTCGTCTGTCGTCTGTCGTCTGTCGTCTGTCGTCTGTCGTCTGTCGTCTGTCGTCTGTCGTCTGTCGTCTGTCGTCTGTCGTCTGTCGTCTGTCGTCTGTCGTCTGTCGTCTGTCGTCTGTCGTCTGTCGTCTGTCGTCTGTCGTCTGTCGTCTGTCGTCTGTCGTCTGTCGTCTGTCGTCTGTCGTCTGTCGTCTGTCGTCTGTCGTCTGTCGTCTGTCGTCTGTCGTCTGTCGTCTGTCGTCTGTCGTCTGTCGTCTGTCGTCTGTCGTCTGTCGTCTGTCGTCTGTCGTCTGTCGTCTGTCGTCTGTCGTCTGTCGTCTGTCGTCTGTCGTCTGTCGTCTGTCGTCTGTCGTCTGTCGTCTGTCGTCTGTCGTCTGTCGTCTGTCGTCTGTCGTCTGTCGTCTGTCGTCTGTCGTCTGTCGTCTGTCGTCTGTCGTCTGTCGTCTGTCGTCTGTCGTCTGTCGTCTGTCGTCTGTCGTCTGTCGTCTGTCGTCTGTCGTCTGTCGTCTGTCGTCTGTCGTCTGTCGTCTGTCGTCTGTCGTCTGTCGTCTGTCGTCTGTCGTCTGTCGTCTGTCGTCTGTCGTCTGTCGTCTGTCGTCTGTCGTCTGTCGTCTGTCGTCTGTCGTCTGTCGTCTGTCGTCTGTCGTCTGTCGTCTGTCGTCTGTCGTCTGTCGTCTGTCGTCTGTCGTCTGTCGTCTGTCGTCTGTCGTCTGTCGTCTGTCGTCTGTCGTCTGTCGTCTGTCGTCTGTCGTCTGTCGTCTGTCGTCTGTCGTCTGTCGTCTGTCGTCTGTCGTCTGTCGTCTGTCGTCTGTCGTCTGTCGTCTGTCGTCTGTCGTCTGTCGTCTGTCGTCTGTCGTCTGTCGTCTGTCGTCTGTCGTATGTCGTATGTCGTCTGTCGTCTGTCGTCTGTCGTCTGTCGTCTGTCGTCTGTCGTCTGTCGTCTGTCGTCTGTCGTCTGTCGTCTGTCGTCTGTCGTCTGTCGTCTGTCGTCTGTCGTCTGTCGTCTGTCGTCTGTCGTCTGTCGTCTGTCGTCTGTCGTCTGTCGTCTGTCGTCTGTCGTCTGTCGTCTGTCGTCTGTCGTCTGTCGTCTGTCGTCTGTCGTCTGTCGTCTGTCGTCTGTCGTCTGTCGTCTGTCGTCTGTCGTCTGTCGTCTGTCGTCTGTCGTCTGTCGTCTGTCGTCTGTCGTCTGTCGTCTGTCGTCTGTCGTCTGTCGTCTGTCGTCTGTCGTCTGTCGTCTGTCGTCTGTCGTCTGTCGTCTGTCGTCTGTCGTCTGTCGTCTGTCGTCTGTCGTCTGTCGTCTGTCGTCTGTCGTCTGTCGTCTGTCGTCTGTCGTCTGTCGTCTGTCGTCTGTCGTCTGTCGTCTGTCGTCTGTCGTCTGTCGTCTGTCGTCTGTCGTCTGTCGTCTGTCGTCTGTCTGTCGTCAAAAAGTGTTTAGAATATAAATTAATACGTGTGTCTTTTTATCCAACTGTTGCAGCAACGTTGGCATCGGTGCGGTATGTCAACTGTTATTTATTTCAACGGTCAACCAGAATCCAACACAAAACGTTCAAGGCCGCTTCGGTGAAACAACGGTTGCAACAAACCGGTGGAATAAAAGACACACGTAAAGATAAAACTTTTCCACATACCCACATTTTATTCGAACCATTTTTAATATAGGTTCATGAGATTAAAATTTTTCGTTTTTCCTTAAATTTCTCCATTACGGTCCATTTTAGAGAAATAATGTATATGACAAAAATTATAGAAAAGTACAACAGAGAGTTGTCTTATTCAAAGAATTTTCGTCTCTAAACATAATTAACAGAAATACACTTTAACGTAGAAAAACGCCTCCCTAAAGTACTTTCACAGCTGTTCAAACTATGCCCAAAATCTAATCCGCTCACCTCAGGGTGGATTAAAGCTTAAGTTGAAAATTTTGTATTTTTATTCTCTATATCCGTTTTTGAGTTAGGTATTTCGTATTCAGTCACAAGGCGAAAATGGTCAAAATAGATTCAAGGGATACCAAAACGTAAAGATCCGTTGAAAACCCGTGGTCTAAAAAAATATGAATCATATCCTTTCCTTATTCATTACAGAAAGGTACCTAATAACTAAAATGTTCTATTCGTCTAATAAATATCTAAATAAGTACAAATTTTTTATTAAAAAATAAAATGCGATTCCGGAGAACTCCGCTGTTCACATTTCTCTTTATTTCTCCTTTCTACAAAACTCCTTTTATAAAATATAGACAGGTTGTAGACAAGCCAAGCGTTTATGAGCTTTGAACCTTAGGAATTTTGCATTTTAGATAGCGCAAGGCTAAAAGCTCTTTAATAAATGTTGCAGATACACGAAAACCAAAACTGATGATTAATTACCATCTTTTCCTTTTACTGTTGCATGTTGTTGACGAATAAACACTAAATTTAGCAGAGACTGCGCCAAGATACCGCATTGATTTTCTAAAAGCCGCATCAAAAGTGAAATTGTGGTTTGTTCCAGCTTTCATCAGTCACCGACCATTAAAAAGGTCCCAACTTACATGCGTGATTTTTTTTATAATTACTTCTTAAAGCGCAGGAGACTGAATATTGTTTAGGTATACATTTCTTAGATTTAACTCGCTTTTTTATATAATTTATTTGCATGACATGTCCAAATATTCACGTGATATTTTTAACGATTACATTTTGTTGTGTAGGTAAAAATCACAAGTAGATATGTCTGCCTCTGTGTGAGAAAGTTACGGACATATTTGTGTATCACCTGAATACAGCTGGAATGTTTTTGATACGATTTATTGCTTTTAGATTCATCTGCATTGCTCAAAAAACACAATAAATGGCTAATGAGTTCAGTTTTAAAAGCCTCCTTTTCTGAGGACATAAAATTAAGCATACGTTGGTACGAATTTTTTGTATTATAGCTGCATGAGTGTTTTTTATCCCATTCCTAAATGCATGATATCAATAATTATTATTAGTGCCATGTCAAAGGTGGATAAAAAGAAATACAATCGATATTTTTGATTAATTCGAAGAAACGGTGCCCATAACGGAAGGTAATTTCCCCGGCACTGGTATTGTATTTACCGTCAGCCAATGAACGCCAACTTGCCAGACACCTCTGCCAGATGCCTCTAGCGAGAGCCAATAAGCTGTGATATTTGTGCAATTTTTGGCAGTTGGTCATACGCGCCAGGGAGAAAGCTATCAAAAAATTGAATATCGCTTTATTCAACAAAATAATAAAATTATAAGAACGTGAAAAGTCACAAATAACGCATTTTTTTACTTCTCAGTTTGTGAACTGTAGTAAAATTCACGTAAGTATGTGCTTTTATGTGAATACTTTGAGGAGGTATACATGCATGTGCCGTCTTCTCGAAGATACATTAAAATCAATTTTTACCAGATATATTGCATGATAGATTTTGAAAATATGTCATAATCTATTGATAAAACAGCATGGTTCTTAGTTGTACCAGCTATGGGCGAGCTGAGAGCCCATGCCCTGGTTAGAATAAAGAACATTCAATGTTATAGAAAAAGGTCTTATTGAGAAATTTATTTTTCAACATTACGGCCAAAATTTCAGTGAATTTTATTTACGTTTTTCAGGTCCAGCCCCCAAAACTATAAAGAACCGAAAATGACTGACCGCAAAGCAGTTATTAAGAATGCCGACATGAGCGAAGACATGCAGCAAGATGCTGTGGACTGTGCGACGCAGGCGATTGAGAAATATAATATTGAAAAGGTATGTAAGAATCTTAATAATTCAATTTTAATCCAAAACATTGATCTCTTGAATTCACAGTATAAAAAAGTAGAGGTTTTTTGTGACAGGTACTGACTTTTTAAATTGCTTTTCACCTATTTTACTGTGACATTTAAATTTTATGCAGTAATGTTTTTTTTAGCCAAAAATATACATAAAAAATAATGAATTTTGTGTGAATAGAACATTCCTATTGTAATCAGTTTAATATAAGTATATTTAGCTTTGTGGACCTTTTTCTGTTTTCTCAACTTTTTTTGTCTATTGCTGAAGAATCTCACTGTTCTCAACTCTTGGCATGTCAGTGTCCAATGCTCTTAGGGCAAGTTTGAGATGACACCTACTAGGGTTGCCACCTTTTTGAAAAGTGAGTAAAGGACAATGGTGACGACAGGGGTAGTATTCTTGAGTCACGAATATAGATTCGCATGCGAGATTTATGATTTGTCTAACTTGGTTTTCGTTCAACAAAGTGAGACACATTGCAAAACACGTATGCGAATGTCCATATTCGTGATTCGAGAATACTACCCCAGGGATTCAATTAAAATATTTTTGCCAAGCTTCTAAAAAAAAAGGTCCCCATCAGTTATTTTAATAATAAACCACTGGTCCTTCTACCAAGCTTCAAAAATTAAGAAGGTCCTCGGCTTATATTTTCATAAAAAACAGGTCCTTTTAAAGGACATGTGTAAAAAAGGACATATTCCATAAAAAAGGACATATGCAATAAAAAAAGGACATATGCCATAAAAAAATGACATTTTATGCTTTAAAAAGTCACAAGGACAATTTGTTTGTTTTCAAAAAAGGACAGGTGGCAACCCTAACACCACTGTCATTCATCCTTTCATTTTGGTCACTGGGAGTAAAAATCATAACCTCAGTTCAGTATGTCTATCATTAGTTTAAAAGTTAACAATCTACAATTTACAAAGTTACAATAATTATAATGTAATTATTTATTACAATTTTTTGATATTATTTTGATTTGATGCACTTAGATGCAAGCGTCTGTATGTGTTATACAATTAAATAATTAATAATTTTACATAAATAAAAGTTGTTGCATGTCAACATGTTTTAGTTTTTTATGACAATGTGGTAAATTTTCTGCAGTCCATATAATAAGCTATGTAGTTTCTGTCTTCATTATCTATTCATTTTCACTTAATAGGTATTTCTGCAAAGTATTACCACCTCTAAAAGCACTTTATAATCCAGATTTTATAACCAAATGCATAATCTTAATTTATCAGACCATTTACTTAAATTTTTATTTTGAACTTAAAACCTACTTCCTCTAAGTGTTCACCCAAGATACTAAAATGCTGGAAGTTCTAAAGAATATGTTTGCTTTGATCTGGTTTAATTGTGATATTATTCCTGTATTTTGGCTTTTGCTTGTTAATATGCAGCTTTCTTTTTTTAATTTTTTTTAACGGACTTCAAAAAAGGAGGAGGTTCTGAATTCCTTGGAATTTTTTTTATGTATGTATATGTGATCATTCTTTACTGCATTGTCCGATTTCTATGATTCTTTTTGTTTGTTAGAAAGGGGGTACCTCAGGGGTGGTCTCATAAATTTGTCCAAGATATAATGAGAAATTTAGCAAACTTAATTTTTTATGTATTTTCAGCGATAATTCTTTACCACGTCTAATTAACTATGATTATTTTTTTGTTAGAAAGAGGACACCTCACGATTAGTTCCATATACAATTGGTCAGGATCTGATGATCTATGAGTAAATCAAAATTCTCAATTAAGGGCATTTTCAGGATTTTGAAGTCTGTTTTTTATTTTCTTCCAAAATACTTAAGTAACAAGTACCTATGTTTCCTCAATAATAAAATAAGAATAATAATTGTAGAATTCTCATTAAATATAAGGTTTGTTCCAACACAATGGCAAATCGGTTTACGTACTGTCGGAATTCTGCGCAGTCTAGATTTGGTGTTCCAACAAACCTCGGACTCAAAACTGTACAATATTCTAGTGTTCCAACATACTCAAACCTAATCACAAACCAGTTTCTGTACTGTCAAATCAGTTCCTGGGTCTGAATAGGATCGAATTGTCAAGACATGCGCAAAACGAAAGTAAGCTCGTAAATCAATCACGACCAACTCTGGAAATGTTGTGATTATATTTGTTTTGATAGCATCATCAATCGTAGTCTGGATCGTAATTTGGTTTTTATTCATTATCATTATTTATAGTATATTATTTTGTGAGGTAATGAGTGTAAAAAGTTAAAAGAACTATCATTCTGACTTAGATACAGTAAAAAATAAAATAAGTTATTGTACTAACCAATCGAATAATCAAAATTTATAAATCTTTTAACGAGTTTTATAATTTTTTTATTTACCAAATTCTAAATTTAACATCTGTTAATGTTTTTTTTTACTTTTACGTTATTGACAGGTGTGTGTGTGTGACAACAGAAACATGTGTTCCAACACAACCAAGTTCCGAATTCAGTCCCAATCATAGACAGGTCGTGGGCTGGTCGTCGACTATCAGTCGTCGACAATAAGTTGTAAACTGGTTTGTGTATGGTTCCAAGATTGTTGTTGGAACAAACCTATATTTTACAAATGTATTATTTTGGTAACCTTGACAATTCAATTAACTTGATTGAAATTAGAAACATATTAATTTACTCATTTATCAGAAATTATAATAATTATAATTATTGGTTTTACTTTTATTGGCTAGATGCTGCCTAGTCCTAAATATAATTGTTTCTTCTTGTACTCGTTTAACACTTTCGCTGCCCATGACGTTCATTAACGTCATGATATTTTTCTCCCATGCCCATGACCAGAGATTAGGGACATAAAGATAGGAAACGCAACGACCGCAGCAACGGTGGCGTCATATATGCGTCTCAGATGTTAACTAAAGGTATACGTCGTTTGTAGACAGACCAGTGTGGCCAAATATTTTTTTGTGATTGAAATTTTGCAGGCAAGCTTTTGTTATGCCGTGATAGTCGGTGTTGGTACAAAATCACCATGGTCAAAATAACGATAAGTGAGAACGAAAATGACTGACTTCAGAAATTACAATGAATCTTTGCAAGTAGTTTTTGATTTTTATTGTTTTATGTTCTGAAGTTGTTGCATATATTTAAATAAACCTACTAAAAAGGGAAGATCGTATTTTTACGTAAGATCTCAATGATGCAATCGTACAGAGAGTTAAAAAATCGTAAAAATATGATTTATCATATGGTTGGCAACACTGAGACAGATAGAAGACGTGGACAGTTTGTAAAAATAATTGTCAGTTTTATGTGTATTGAAGAATCCTGAATTTAAATTTTAAATTGAGTTAATGATTGTGTTATCCTCTATATGAACTAAGCGAAATGGCTGTGCCTGTTTTTATGTGAAATTTGAGGACAATAATTATATTTTGTAATGTTACAATAAGTCTGAGAACGTATTGCATTAGTAACACACGCTACATGAATAAATTTAACAACCCCAATGTGGCGTTCTTTAATTAACCAAAGTGAGATCCAGTCATGTAAGTACCACAAATAGTAACCAAATTTTGTCACAAAGTAGGTATTTATTTATTATTTATTGTTTTAGAACAAGAAAATGGCTTCAAAACGTTAGAAAGAAGATTTGATATAGGAAAAAAAATATCTGAATTCCCATTATTGAGTTTGCACTCAACATTTTTGAAAATAAGAACAAAAATGTAATGTTACAAATAACAATCAAAAATTAAAAAAAATATTTGTCATGAATAGATTTACAATAATTAATCGATAATAGATTGTAAGTGTAGTATTCTTTTTAATAAATAATTTAGCATAATTACATTGATTAAATTTATTTACAAGAACATGAGAGTGCAGTCGATATTTACACAATCTTTATTATCAAGTTTTTAAATTTTCCGCTGCGTTGTTTGATATTGATGAAAGCGCCACATAGTGGGTCAGATGTTAACTGCGTTAAAGCTGGTCGTTGTTAAGCATTGGCTTCTTATGAGCGTTTCCTATCTTTATCTCCCTTATCTCTGCCCTTGGCGTTTTATAATGTCACTTGAAGATGTATGTTTCGATGAATGTAGATAAGCTGCTATACAGTGAATTGTCTTTACAACTCTGCAGGCATGTGAAAACGTTCTTAAATTAGTCCATTATGAATTTGGTTTTGATATTATGTTTGTGAATTTAACATAGCAAGGCTTTAACATTTTCTAATTAAATGATGTCTAATAAAAGTTACATGGATTTGAAAAACACATAATATATAAATATTTTTGGATATACAGTGTGTTATGCTTGCTTGGAAAGTAAAAATATATTTTTGTTAAATGGAACACTGTATTTTATCTCAGTTTTAGAATTCTTAGGGAATATTGTAATAAACCCTAGAATATTTTTAAAAGTTTACAGGATTACCAAGTAATTGATTTTTTGTGATAAAAATAAAAAAAGACCTTAAATAAAATTATCAGAATTTAAGTAGCTTATCAATGAGTTGAATATTATTTAAAATACTAACGAATAGACATGATAGAACTAGTTTATTTTATACAGATGGTTTTGAAACATCTCATAAATATGGCTCATTTTAACTTCATTTTACCCAATTTGAATACAACACCCTGCATATCATTTTAGCATTAAATTCATTATAAATTTACTTATCTAATGATACCATCATGTTAGCCTATTATACATATACAGGATGTCTCAACAGTGAGTAATTGATTGATGGCTGTTTTATTATTAAAGATATGAAGACACTTTTAAGTTGTACGACCATATTTTAAAATTATTCCTAAGTATACAAGAAAGTTCATAAATGAGTGGTGGAAAAACTTAAACCGTTTTAAAACAAAACCCCCAAAACAAATTCATTGTTTCCCACTCGTCAAACAATTTTAATAGGCTTAACGTTTCTAAAAATGCTTTGATTTATGTTACACCACAAATTTAATTAACAATATTTTAGTGTCTTTACTTTTTATTTTGACATTTTTGAGCCTAAACTGATTTTTAAATTTTATTTACAATGGTTAATATTACTTGTAATGTCGAAAGAATAGAAAACCATTCATTAATTCTGACAAATAGGTTACCAAAAATTTCATTATCATTTTACTCTAAATAAGTTCAATTAATTAAAAAAATGTGAAAAAATTATGTTAATTTTTATGATAAAACCATCAAAATCTTGAGAAAAAATTCGTTTGGGAATAGAATGCCAAACAAAATAAAAAAGTAAAGAAATTAATTTATAAATTGGTGGTATGACACACAGGATATATTTAAGAATATTGTAACCTCAAGTTTAGACATATGCATCACAGCAAATTAATGAAAATGTTAATCATTTTTAGTCTATTAAAATTATAAAACGATGTGAAAACAACCAAATCTGTAAGGTGTAAATACCTACAGTATGTTCGGTTTAAAAAACTATCTTTTTAGATTTTCATTGTGTATGGCCCATGACGTTAATGAACGTCCAAACTTTAATAAAGTGGTATTTAGTCATCTAAAGGGTTGCTATTTACTGGAAAATTCTGTATTGTTGAGCTATAACATGATACATCTAGCACCATGTGAATTATAATATAAACTGAAGCATACTATTGGATGGTCTAAGACAGTACAATAATCTTCCAAGCATCATAAAGAACAAGGACTAATGACCTCTAAAAAAAATTACAAACGTTCTTAACTGACTCTTAGTTGACATTTTCAGGTTTAAATAATTAGGCATTCCAATGACTTGTCAGACATTAACTGCCAGTGGGAAGGGCCCTTAAATCTAAGGGGGTTTCGACATAGCCTTCCATCTTGAACGCTATTTTTATTTGAAATAGTAGTCGCCAATAAGCCTGCCAATTTATAGAAAATGTATAGGCAGTTTTTGAAAAATAATATTTTCATTGTGTTCGACATACAATATTTAAATTTAATCCATTAATTATGATTTCACATATTGTCGATAGACTACATTGTATGTCGCAACCCTTTAGACATACCAAACCTTAACACCGCGTTTCACTTGTTTGGAATGCCTAATAGTGTGATATTAGATATTAAATTACTACATTTGTAATAATTTTGTGTAGTATTATAACTAAGTACATCATTCTTCTTCAGTGACATTATAAATTTTGTTTTTTATGAGACCCATGTAGTATGAAACTCTGGGTCTAGATATGCCGTTTTTTATTTCTTCATTAATAAATTGATGGAATCTTAAATTGTATGAAATAAAGCAACCATAAGCAAGTAGAGAGCTGTCAAATTGAGTTTTCTACCTAGTCAAAGATCTAATTTTCAGGTCAGATTTTATGCTGTACAAAATCTAAAAATAATAATAGTGTTTTATCTTTCTGTTGAGTTTTCAAACAGTATTATGTTTAATTAATTTCAATAAGGATTGACTTATCAGTTATTCTAGTCTGTTAGAAATTATTTTCAAACAATTCATGTGATTATATTATTAATTCTAAAGTACATAGTAAGAGTATATAGATAAAAATATTACTAGTTTCTTTTCTGTTCAAATAAGAACCTAGTACGCATTTTTGTGTTAAAAGTTTAATCAATCCATTTGATAAATTCTTTTTCAGTGATGAATCAAATGATTATTTAAATTATCCTGGGAATTGACTTATGAGTAATTATCTAATTATTCTAACTAATAATCAATCAAAATTTAGTAACTTTTAAGCTATTAAATTGATTTCTATACATTGAAAAAATAGAGCAAAATCAATTAGAAAATGACGATTAAACCTATGGTGTAGTTTATCTCCTAAATATGTTGTTCCTATACATTATATAA